ATGTATATGCGTATGTATATATCTACACAAATAGGCACATGCACACCAAATGCAAAACAGACAGACGCAAACACATACATACATGCATGCATGCATGCATACATACATACATACATACATACATAGATACATAGAGACAGACAGACAGACAGACAGACAGACAGACAGACAGACAGACAGACAGACAGACAGACCGACGGACAGACATACCTACATACATGCAGATGCATATTTACTTACTCGCTTACTTGCTTACATGTGTGTGTGTAGACATGTATACATTCATATTTCAGTATACATCTAAAAGATTCTATAAGTACATCTCTGCGCATGCGCATGCACGAGTGCTTCTTGCTTGCTTGCTGATGGCTTCAGGAGAGGAGACCACTCGTGCCTCTCTTTGCTTGGCTTTGCTTGGGTTAGAGCCGGGGGCAGTCCTTTCGACCCGCGCTCCAGGTCCTCATCCACCATTTTGGTCGAGGGGTTTGACTGGTGCCCCACTTTCGATGCCCCGACACTCTCAAACACATCAAGTTCACACAAAAAATGCTAAATTCGTTCCTTTCTTTCGCCAGGGCTGTGGTGGGGAGTTGCCCCCCCTCCGCTAACTTCGTGTCTCTCTCTCTCTCTCTCTCTCTCCTGGGCATGGAGGCGGGTCAGCGCCCCCGGGCTTCAAAGCCTACCCGTTCGCGTTTGGAACGGCTGAGGGGTGAGAAAAGAGCGTAACTCGTCAGAAGGCTCCTTTCATAGGTCATAGGGCGTAGGGGACTGTTTAAGTCCCCCGGCCTGTGGCCCCCCATGCGTTATGGGGCTTTCTCTCTCTCTGTCTCTCTCTTCCCTGGCGCATACACATGTGTGAATATGCACATGCACACACATATGGATAAAGCCAGCAATACAATTTAAAGGCCAAGAGGAGCACTGGCATGCACTGGCGCTTGTGTTGTACCTCTGAGGGCACCTTGCAACATGAACCGTACATCGGCTGAAGGGTAAAGATGGACATGCAAATTGTCGGCACGTCACATGCCGTTCGTCATGTCATGATATGCACCTTACTGCCTGCAAGCTGCTTTGATACAGTATGTGTGTGTGTGTCTGCCTCCGCAAACTTACTCGGTTGCTGATAGTGCTCTTCATGTTTAATTATGTATGTAGTTCCTAAGGCTAAGCGTGCTTTGCTGAGATATGCTGAAATCCAAGCAACAAAAAACAATGTGGAACCACGCTTGCTGAAGATCTGAACAGAAAAGCCGTCAGACGGATTTGTCCCACCAGCCAGTCAGCCAGCCCGTGGGGCAATGGGCCTGCTTCCTCTCTTCGGCGAAGTTTTCGAAGATGATCCGACTGAACTCGTCGAGCTCCTCCTGTCGTCTGAGGACGAGCTGTTGGCTCGCGAGGATCCAGCTTCGGAACTTTTTCAAGCTTCCCCGGTCTCGTAGAATGATTCACTACAAGGTGAAGCGATAGATCCTTGAACTTTGCAGATTGTCTAGTTAAAGGCAGGCGACTTGGGTAGACGCTTTGCTGGCTCGATTGAGCCAGATCTACAGCTGAATGCCATACTCGAGAGGTGCTTCTGCACCATGCCTTCGCCACTATCATTATCGTAGCACAGTCCGAAGACTTTGACACTTTGGCCCATGATGATGATGGTGAGTGGTGATGATGGTGCGTCTCTGCTGCTCTCCTTAATGTGACTGGTTGTCACTACGACTCCGTAGCATCGGGATTAGCAGAAGCTATGCGGAGGCCTCCGGCTCGATCTTCGTAGTCGGAGTCACCTGGACCTTCGGCAGCAGCTTTGCACACAGACCAGACATGACAGCAAGTACGATACAGCCAAAAAGCACATGTATCGCTTTTAGTGACGGATGGTACCGATAACCGCGATCATACAGTTGACGGCTGACGGTGCTAACAGTCAGATCTATATTCATGGCTATGTCTGCTGGGGGCAATGGTTGGCTTCCCCACAGCTTCAAATCGAGAGCTCATGCTCCATTTTTGCGCCTCGTCGTCTAGCAACACCAGGTCCTCCTGTCAGTTCAGCGCGTGGTGAGGGTCTCCGGGGTTTCGGGGCTCATCACTTACAGAGCCTTGTGGCCGGTCGTGCTAGTAACTTTACTCCTTTCATGGATTGCGGCCTCGGGGTGCCTCTGGCTTTGGATCTTGGGGCCTGCGGAAACCCGTCCCGAACACAATGTCCAATCTCGCATCTCCTCGCCTCTTCTCCCCATGATTTCTGCTCTGCAATACCCTACGGTCATACAAGCACGTTGCTGCTTCAGAGCTTCCTATCCCAAGCCACCCTGCCACACCCAAGAGCCGACCCCGATAGCGTGGCCTTGAAAGACTTCGCAGCCTGTTTGTACTTGCGAAGCAACGCCTCCTTCTCCTGACGACGGAACAAGAGGTTCGTGGCCCAGCACTTCAGCTAGAGTCCTGCTCATGCGCTCTTGACTTGCTTGCTTGGCACCGCCCACCTCCAACTCCTTCTTCAGCGCGTCCCGCTCTTTCTTCAGAGCATCCCGCTCCTGGCAGCGCTCTGGGCAAGACAACGCAGGTAGGGTATCGAGACTCCAACATTAATAGGTAAGACCCGCACCTTCTCCGTTTCGCCGACATACTTCACCAGCAGCTGCATCTTCTTCCCTCGGTCGGCACTGGGTCTCACAGAAGTGCGGGAAGAGCGGGTCGGTTTGAGGTCTGTTTTTCTTGAGAGCTTCCACCTAACACTGTGTTCACGCGTCACATCACCAATACGACCCCGTGTATCGAATACAACACATTGACACATTGACGTAGTACACGAAACAGCCGAAGCGAACTACACCACGCTCGAAACACCAAATGCTAACGCCCTTGCTGAACGCCTCAACTCGACATCTGAACCCAGGAAGCCTGGAAATGGACTCCACTGACCCAAAGGTCTCCACCTTCCGACAAACAGACAGATACGAACAGACGGAGACATGCGTAGATGTAGATACTGCTGTAATCTAAGCTGTTAGAACTTCATGCAGAGACCAACATCCACAAACTTGCTCCGACTAAGCCCGCAACCGGCTTTCTTCAGGTCCTTTCGAACGAAGCTTTCGCATTCCAAGCTCTACTTCGGGGATGGGTGGTCAGGAAGGCCGCCCCGTGTCGGCTGAAGGAAGCTCTGAAAAGGGATAAGAAGAGCCCCACGAGGCCTTCTGGCACTCAGGAAGCTTAAGACTGTCCTGTCTGCGTCTACTCGATTCTGGCAGGGATGGTCTGCTAACCCGACTCATACAGGCAGAAGCGGCAAGCTGCGCCTACCACTGCAGTGAGACTCATAGGCTTGCCAATTCGAGATGACCGTCATAGTTCCCCTGAATCTGCAGTGAATTCTGAATTCACGGTATGACGCTTCTAGCAAGCACGCAGGACTTGAGTCCTCGGACATTTCCGCACGTGCAAGCATCTTTTCCCGCAGCGATCACGGGTCGGGCGCTAGCTCCAACCAGGGGCACCGAACGGGAACGCACAGCGTGCGGTATCCTGCCGTTGTGGTGTCATCTGCTCCATGGACTGCCGCCTTCCATGCTTCCAGTGCCCCACAGCGGTCGTTAACACGGAGACCAAATGCGGAGCTCCACGGTCCGAGCGTCAGCCTCAAGGTACTGCTACTAGTCCTTCTTTTGCTGCAGCAGCAGGAAAAGTAGTAGTAGCAATAGCAGCTAGTCGTAGCAAGTGGCAGTGACAGTGGTAATGGTAGTGGTAGCGGTAGTGGGAGTGGGAGTCGCAGCGGTAGTGCAGCGATACTGGAGGTGACGGTAGTGGTAGCGGCAGTGGCAGTCGTAGTGGCAGTCGTAGTGGTAGTAGCAGTTGTTGTTGTCATGCTCCGTATTTTCACGATGCAGGCTTGTAGCTATTCAGCTATTCCCTAAACGCATCTTCCCAGCATCTTTAGGCATCCGGCGCTTTGTTGACCCTGCTCCTGTCGCATTGTCTGAGGTGGTCTGACTACCCTCCTCTGATCCGACTCACAACCTAAGGCTCCGGAAAACGAGGTGTCGAAGGCTGACGCCCGGACCTTCACAGTCTTCGTTGGCAAGCCCCGCCACTTTGGGCTTGGCCACCGCGAGTCCCCTTCGGCTTCAGAGGGCTCCGGGTGTGGGTCTAACTCTTCCCATTAAGCCTTCGTCCTCACCGTGGTCAGAAAGCTCAGAACGCTGTTGAAGAGGCGGTGCATCAGCTGCGAATGGGCCTGGCAACCGGTCAACGTGAGGTCTCGCGGCTGCTCTGCTCCCGGGATGCCTGCGACAAGAGCTTCCAGGCGATGTTCTTCCGCTTCTCATCGGGGAAGACCAGAACAACTTCCACCGACTCCTGCCCACGCCAAAAAAGGCCCTCGACTTCTCACGCGCGGCCTCAGGAAGTGGTTGAAGCCCAGATTTCCGCTGTGCCTCTGCAGGAGGCAAAGTCCTGCAACGGGAGACTGCATGGCATACGGCTTGGAAATTTCAGAAGCTCAGAGAGGCTCCCTGCAAACTCTATGTCGACTCAGACCTGTTAGCTCTTTCTTGGTGTTATGGTGCTGTGTACGTAAAGTTGGCACGGCTGGTGGATTGAATCTGTGCGCCACGTACACCAATGTTAAACACCCCAGAAGGTCCCGCTGGTCGACCCATCACGAGGATAGCCGCCCGAAGGCTGCTTGGCGCCGCGCAAGCCTGCGCAAGCCCAGGCTTTCAAAGCACACTTCGACTTCTCAAAGCCGCCAGACGCCAAGGAAAGGAGCACAGCGATGGTGCAAACAAAAAGCTCCGGAAACCTGTTTACTGAAGTCTGACCTGCTGAGCCACTTCTTGTAGCACTCAAGCAGCGCATGAGAGCGACTTCTGCCAAGTGATTTCATTGAGCACCAGGCACACTTTTTGAACCATCCAGCAGATCCGCTCAAAACTGATCAGCTCACAAGTATCCCGCACTCCATGCCGGGGACGACATGTGCGCTTAAGACAGCCATCAAGGGATGACCTGACGACATAACATGCCTAAGATGAAGAGGTGCGTGCTGAAATCGACAAATTGCGTTCAAAACACACGTGCGTGTGTACACAATGTCACACGCGCCTGGACACAGCAACCACATTTTGTGCATAGGAAAACACAGGAAAACACAGGGCTCAAGGGAGCGTACTTTTCTGTGCAACAAACGGACCTTGTCCATTATCGCTTGTCAGTCAGAAGTGTCGGAGTTCGCACTTCGAGTTCCAGCTATCCAAGCGTGGAAGATCCGGGTGTCGTGGCTCACAACGATCTTCTCTGAAAGCTCAGACTCAAGCTGTTGGCTCTATGAGTCGAGAACGGCACATGGGGATCCGAAAGGTGAGGGGAGAGCACTCAGGTGCCACAGTGGGACGCGAGCATGCTGAGAAAGCTCCGTGGAACTCCGGCCTCTGGTTTACACTCTGCTTCCTTCACTGGGCCAAGGTAGTGGTCCCGCTTCGAATTCTGCTTGAGCTGCGACAACACATCAACGAAGGCCAGAGAACAGAAGGGACACCTTCCCAAACCTAAATCTCAAAACTCAGGATAATGCGTTGTCTCCCGCGGCGCCTGCCAGCTTCCGCAAGGCAGGAGAGCGCGGCGCAAAAACCTGCAGCCACAGGTTCACACCAGAGCTTTCGAGCTGCACGATAGCGACTCAGGGTCCGACTTCAAATCATTCCGGAACCTTTAGTCTATCGGCCCGACGCTGCAAACCGCCTGAAAAAAAAAGCAACGAAGAATGCCTCAATCCTCAAGTCCTGCCTTCATGCGCAAGGAGGGCTCCTCGGTGTTGCCCCAGAAGCTTCCCGGCGCCTTCGCGTTCTCGTCGCCTGTCTTTGTAGGTGCTCTTTCGTCTGGTGCGTTATATATTCAGGTCTTTGGCATTCGCCGCTACGGAACCTTTGATTGCCTGAGCTCTGGGTGCCTCGAAGACCTTCACACGCAGCCACACGCAGAACACAAAACCCCACACTCCCGTCACCAGTCCCTCCAGAGGGCCCGTGTGAAGGACCACTAGCCGCAGAGGTTCGGCGATGACGGGCTCGGCGTTCAAGGCCTCTGTACGGACACGTGTTGGGCCTTGGGATGTAAAGTGACCCACGTGGAGGCCCCTTTTCAAATTCCGGGTTACCAGGGCTTCTGTGCGTTTTCTGACGGCAGGCTGAGATCGAAGCCGTGATGCAGAAGGCTGGCACGCCCCAAGATGAACTCTGAACCCTACCGGCCCCGCCGTCTACCCTTCAAGTTCCAAGCGCGGCCTTCAGAGTGTCGGGTCTCGCCAGGAGGAGCGTATGCGCTGAGGGCATGAGATAAAGATTCTCCTGGCTGCATTACTGTACGAGCAACGGCTCTCCAGACTTTGAAATGCTTTCTCGTCGGTGTCCATGTTTAGGAAGACGTTCTCAGATTGCTGATTAACTTAACTAGATTCGCAGTCAGGACGCATGTCTTTCTATGCACGCTGGCATGTGTCAGGCATCGATTTGTTTCAACATGCAAGCTCCTCGCGCCCATCCTCCAGACACAGCCCTTGCACCGTGCACTTCACGCGGTTCATCTTCCCTACCTGACAGCAAGCCTACAGAAGTGGCTGTTCAGATAAGGACGCTCGTGTTGCATCTCAACCCGATTATCCAGACTCCCTGGCGGCATCAACGATGCTACAAAGAGACTAAAGAACGTTTTTGCCGGGCATACCGAGGAACGGACGAGCTGCCCTAAAGGCCCTAAAGCCCTTGCAACCCGCACCTCTGTAGGTCGGCCCGAACCCTCGAAAAACCGCAGTCCCTGCTTCCGCGGCACGAGGACTGCAACACCGGGCTGATAGCGCAGCAGCTCATCGCGCTCGCCCTGACCGGCTTGGGGCGCTGCAGGCGTAGGGGCGTGGAGGGGCGTTTGCAGCTGAGTTTGCATCGAATTTGAGGTTCAGAGGCCAGAGCTCGGGATGCTTGTCCGAAGAATATACAGCTCGGGGTCTACAGGGAGTGGGTTGGGCTGGTTGGGGCTGTTGTGGTTCCTGGGGTATGAAGCTTGGGGCTTGTGGGGTCTGTGTGTTGCTGTAGGACCCCGTAGGATGCTACACAGGCTCACATGCCAGGCCTGTCAGCCCAACAACACCTCGCATCTGTGTGTGTGTGTGTGCGTGCATGCAACTCTATGTGTATATAAATAAATAAATAAATATGTGCATATGTATATATATATATATATGGATCTGTAAATATATATATATATATACATATACATATATATATATACATACATACTTACGTATGCGTGCACATATGTCTGTACATAACATATCTAAGGCTGTGAAACGGGAGCCTCCTCCAGGCCCGGCATTTCCATGGTGCCCTTCCTCAGCTGGAAGTTTCAAGGCTTTTTGCTGGCACGCAAAATCCCAGACGCCTCGGCAAACAGGCACCCCTGCAAGCGTAAGCACTGAAACCGCCGCTGAAAACCTCTGCTGCCCTGAATTGTCGAGGCAGACGGCCCAGCAACCAGTCGGTGAAGCGACAGAAGAAGCCTCGATAGCATTCTCAAGGCTACAACGGTCTAGGGGGTTGGGAGTCTACGCGAGAGCTGCTGGAGGTTGAATGAAGATGTGCCAGCAGTCGGACCTTGTAAAGCATCCGCACCAGCGCCCACATCACGATCATCAGCATCATCATAAGCTGCAAAACGAAGGGCTCAGCATGCTTAACATTAGCGCCTCAACTGACGTCAGTATTTACACTAGCTTAACCGATTTTCGAATCCTTAATGCAAACCAGCCAAGCACAGTATGTGCCGGCACCGCAGATTGCGGACCCCAAATGCCAAGAAGGAAACCAAGAGACCCGCCGCGGGGTCTTAAATCGAAACCATCCACACACTTTGCTCTCAAAAACAAGGACCCCTGTAGGAATTCTTGCGAGCCCTGCATCCCAATGCCACCCCCAAAGAGACAGAACTTCGTCTTGGCCTCCACAGGTTTCCGCTGCTTTTGGCCCGAGCCGGCAGAGCCGCAGAAGCCTCAGGCGCGGCACCTCGGGCTTGGGCGTTCAGGGGTTTAGGGTTTAGGGTTTAGGGTTTAGGGGGGCTTGGGGGTTCAGGGGTTTCGGGCTTCAGGTGAGCACAATCCTGAACAGCATAAACCGCAGTGATCGCGATGACAGTGCTGATGGTGGCGACCCAACAAGAAAGCGAAGGGAGTGATCGTAAGAACACCGGTCTCTAGCAGGACTTGCAGAGACAGCAAGACCAATTCAAACAGTGATGTGCAGACTGGAGCGCTTTAGGCAGGTGACTCCCAAAAACCACCCGCACCCAAAAGACTTCCGAACTGTTGGAGAGGCACCAGGCTCTGGCAGGATCTGACTCCGTGGCTTCTCCGACAGCGCCGAGAGATCCTAGAGATCCCGGGAGGACAGACTTCGGGCCTTAGGCCTTTGCGTTGTGAGTTAGGGGTCGGGGGTTTCCAAGCTTGGGGCGGAGGAAGTAGACTAGGGAATGTTGGCCGTCCGGAGTAAAGGGATGTAGGGCCTAGGCCTAGGCTTTTCGGGTCACTGAACGTCAGGTCTGGGCATCAGAGTCCAAATTGTCTTCAGCCCTCTGGAAGCTTGGGGCACCCTGTGCCCCACATTGGTTCCAGCCAATTTAACCAGGGATTCGGGACGTTAAGAGCTCACCTGATTGATCTCGAACTTCTAGGTCAAAACAGCCTTTACCAAGCAACGAAGCTCAACGTAGCCCGGATTAGCGAGCCGCCGACGTCCAACCCCAGACGGTTCAATGAGGCTCACCGGAAAGCCTCCAACCCGACGTCCTGCGCAGAGGTATGCCACTGCTGCTGGAAGTCCTGCGTATTGGGTTTGCTCGAGCTGGGCTGCAAAAGTTTAATAATCAAAAAATACACACAAAGTCAATGTCAGGAGAAACCCCCTAAACCCCGAAAGCCCAACCCCCCCCAAGCCCCAAGACAACTGTATGCATACGCGCGTCCATGCATGCAGGCACGTATGTTGCGTCTAGCAAAGTCTAGTCTAGTCTCGTCTAGTCTAGTCCGAAACACAGCACAGTTTTTATACTACCGTATACTGTAGTATGGAAAAGCAGAATAGCACAGTATAGTATAGTATCGTATCGTATAGTGTAGTTTTGCATCGTAGAACCAAGTGTGGTATCGCGCAGTAGAGTGTAGTACAGCATAATATAGTAAAGTTTTGTGCTGTACAGAATACACTGCGGTGCAGCGTAGAGTATAGTATAGTATATAGTATATAGTATACACACAAGATAGCACCATACAGTACAATGCAATACAATACAATACAACACAACACAAAACGATACAACACAATTGAATCAATAGAACGTACCATACTTTTTGGTCTAATACAGTTTAACAATATATATGTATATGTTAACTAATTAAAATAGACATTATAGAAATATAATGATAAAAAATGAAAGTAAAATGATAGATGACAACATAAAAACTCATTGTGATACACTATGAAATGCAATACGATATTGTATGATATAATATGACAACTATCTGATATTAGAACACAACCCAACAAAAACGAACATAATCCGTCGTTATATAGTGAATTACCGCATATAAAACTATGGCATCATAAGATATAATAGGTATAGTAAGACTAAGTGACATGAGAAAACATTTGCACAAACTAATATGACTTAATGCAACATGGCAGAACACAACATCAAATTAATTTTGTGCCAGACTCATGTAGCATACGATTGAACAGTACAAGACAATCTGTGCAATACAACATGATTAACATATAGTGCGATAGGATGAAATAACAGTATATATACTACTACGGTATAGTATAAGATCGCATAAGAAAGGATAACGTAGTAGGGCATAATGAAATGCAATACAACACAACTCAACACAGCACACTACAGCGGAAGGCAGTGCAATGCAATTCTATGCAATGCAACGCGACACGATACATTCCAGTACAATACAATATGAAATAACACACGATACGATACAATGATATCTTGTTATGCAACATAACTCATACAAAATCGAGCACAGTTCTGAGTATCATAATATGGTATGCACAGTAGCTTACCAGCTTATCATATTACGTCATATCATATCGGGTACAATGTCATGAAATAACATGCGAAATATGGTAAACACTATATGTAATGTAGTAAAACATATAATACGTATAGAACATAATATGACATAGCATCACATAAAATAACATATCATTACATAATATGGCATGTTATGACAAAATATAACGTAATGAAGCATGAAAAAATAGAACGCTGCAAAACACGATATAATACTACAACATAAACTAATATAACACAACAGACACGATGTAGTATCACATAACATATAACATAACAGAATACAACATAACATGACACAAATTGATACACTAGAAAAAAGGTTTGCGATAAGATTAAACAACATCAGGCCATACTATCTAACCAATTACCATATAGTACACTACAAAATAGACATAACACAACATGAATGTGAATATACGAACGCATCTCGGGGGAAAAAAACTGCGCTTCGTGTGCAAGCCTGGAGCCAGGAGCCTTGGGCTTGGATGTCCAGGCATTGGAGCTTCGCCTTGGAGCAGCTCTGGGACAATGTGGGGTGGGGCTTCAGGGTTTAGGGTTTAAGGGGATTTATTGGGATTTTGGGGCGGTCTGGGATCAGAATCAAGATCACAGCAGCAGCGAAGCCCAAATTCACGATCGACATTTCGCGGCCCGTGACTCCGGATCCAGAAGCAAGCAAGAAACAAAGCAACAAACTGGCACGCCGGGCAATCGAGAAGCCTCATGAAGGAGCTCATCCGCAAACGGCGCCAAGAGCTTGTCCCTGGGGGCGACAGGCACTGTGCTGCACGCTACTGCAATCTACATCAGAACTACGTCAGCTTGCAGTCATAGCAAGGAGCAGTCACTAGTCGTCGCCGTGCCGTCGTCGTGTCGGGGTCGTGGTGTTGCAGCTATGGATCGGGATAACCAATCCTAAAAACACAACCAGCAGGCAGCAAAGCACGCAGAGCATCTGTTTTCGCGCAAAAGCTGAGTGACGTCACTTGAGTGCGGCGAGTCGACCGGGGCTGGATTCCACAGGCTCGTCTAGGCTCGCTCTCTGCACATGACAAGTCAAAGCACATGCCCTCATGAGGTAATCTTCACATCGAAACAAGAAAGTGTTGACTTGTCACCCGCAGGCTTCATCCTAAGCTTGCGGCGCTCTCGTTGCGCCCTCCGAAGAAAAGCCCTTCGCTCTTCCTCTTCAGCATCCGCCGGTGTCTGTTTCACGTTGAGCATGCCGTCACCTTTGAAGCGAACGTAGAGGAGGTCCTCCATCGGCTTTGTGAGGCAGTCACCATACTGGCGCCACGTTGGCACCCAGTACAAGGAAACTAGACCTTCCTGCACCATCTGCCGGATGCCGAGGATGTCAAGTGAAGTCTGGCGTTCTGCTGCAAGCTGGTTGGAGCCATGGACGTGGTCATACAGGCTCCGTGCGTCCGTGACCAAATGCCCTTTTGCTCGGATGTCCTGGCGCCACGTGGAGGAGGTCGTCACAGCTCCGTCGTAGAGGGCGTCCCAAAGTTTCATGTTGTACACGAGGCGGTCGGCACTTGAAGACATGGAACAGCACTCCGCGGCCATGCTGCTGCGAACGACCCGGCTGATCTTGTTGCTGTGGAACTCCAGAAGGTTGGCCCTTCCTTGGGAAGTCAAAACATCCGGGTCCACGAGGAAGTGGGCCTCCCCACGTTGTGCTGTAAGACTGCTTCCGCTCCCGAGTGCAGCGTCAAAGTAGGTGACCAGCTCGGGTGGCCCAGACAAACGCCGAACCTTAAGCTTGGCCTTGCCTTCAGCAGCCAGGGTCTTCAAAGAACCCAGCAGCTTGTTCGCGTCAGCCAAGTCACTCCAAGTAGCCTGGCCAATTCTCTGGGCCAGCAAGCTGACCTGACACAACAACTCGGGAACTACGAGATGCACGGGCCATCGAAGCTGAGCAATCAGTCGGCGGAACTCCTTGAGACCATCAGCGTCCAAACTCTGAGGTCCACGGCCACGAAGAGCTGCCTCCTTGAGCTCGTAGACGTAGTCGGTCATGTCATTCATGAAGGCGCCGTCCTGCATGGAGATCTTCATGCCCAAGTAGGCGACCGGCTTGGCACCGATCTCAATCCATTCCTTGATGGAAAAACGCTCATCGATAGCCTTCCGGGTCTCCTGGGCCTCCGCACCATCCTCCACAGCAAGGAAACCATCGTCCACATGGAGGCAGAGGATAGCAACCGTAGTGATCCTTCCTTTTCGCTTCCGGACCTTCACGAAGGTGGCAGGGGCAAAGGGGACCTCCACGAAACCGGCAGCCTGCAAGAGGTCCTTCGCTTGCATATACCATAGCCGAGGGGCCTCTGCGAGGCCATAGGCACTCTTGAGTATGCGCCACAGGCCATAGGCACCCACACCATGAAGATCACGAGGAGGCCGACAGTAAAGGTCACGAGCAACACTCTTGCCGGAGAGGAAGGCAGTCGACACGTCAAAGAGGAGGCAACGCCACCGTCGTTGGAGAGCCACACTCATGGCCATCCGGACAGCAGTCATTGTCGTTGTCGGGCTGTCCGTCCGAAGGTCGCCTCCCAGAACATCTGGGTCCATGTGTCCCGGGAGAACGATCCTCGACTTGGCCACGAGGTCCTTGGAGCCGGCCGTGGCCTTGTTAGTACGTACAACCCTGGCTGGCACCTTGAAAACTCGGTCTCGGGGAACCTTGCCGGCAGCGGCAGCATCCAGCTGTTCTATCACCTTGTTGTCCAGCCAGGCTTGCCACTCCTTCTGGTCGGACTTGTCGAAGGCCGTCTTCTCCGTGGTGTCGAAGAACTTCGGATCCAGCTCCTTACCATTCGCCTTCATCTTCAAGATAAAGGCCTGGGTCCTCATGACATTCTCAGCAACGTCCTCGAAGGCGGCCCGGGCCACGTCCTCACTGGCAACCGTCACTTGGAACACCTGCGAGGCAGAGGCCACAAAAACCTTTTCACCATGGGTGGCCCGCTTCGAGGCCTGGTAGCGGGCCTTGAGCTCTCCTTTCTTCAGGTGGGCCCGGTGTGCATCGTAGAAGAAAGTTGCTCCTCGCCATAAGTGCGGGCACTTGTGCCGAGGACGCCGTGCAACTTCATCCGGAGTCTCCTCAGCGATCATCACCTGCTTGGGGTCCTCGCCGAGCATCACAGTAACACGGTGTCGTCGCCATCGGGGCCCAGGGTTCTGCAACCTTTTTCGAGGGGCCCGGTGGAAGCGTGCAGCAGTCAATGGCATATCCAGTAGCTCTGCTAGCTTACGAACTTGACCTCGAGGGAGCCACTCGTTTGCTCGCGGTTCGGCACCAGGAGCAACCTTGGGACCAGCAAGCTCCTTCAACTCTGGCTCGGCAAGGGCGACCATAATAAAGTTGGCCACGTCACCAGTGCGCAAGCGTTTGGTGGACACTTCAGGGTGCGGCTCAAACTGTGCCTGTTGCGCGGCCGCAAGCTTGCGCTTCAGACTGAATGGCACATCATCCATGTAATCGTAGGCTCCATCGCGACCATCAGAACGACCCTCCTCCTGTGCTATTGGGGCTTGGTCCCACATGTCCCGGAGACTGTCTGGCAACAAACTATCATAAGGACCATCAGGTGGAGGTTGTTCGTGTATTCCTGCGTCATCTTGAGGTGGTTGTTCAGCAAGTCTAGGCTCAAGTACAGGACCATCAGGTGGAGGTTGTTCGCGTATTCCTGTGTCATCTTGATGTGGTTGTTCAGCTGGCTCGGCTCGGCCTTTCCTTCGAGACCCTCGAAGTCCAAGAAGACGACGGCCCCGAACCTTATCAAAAGGGATACCCAGGGTCTTCTTCACAGACTTGAGACCCTGCATCATCCTCCTTGCCTCGGTCATCCGGCGGCCCAATCCATTTGGAACTCGGCGAGGCTGAAGGCCAGGAGCTTGTGGTGCAACAGGAGCTTCTTGGTCAGCTGGTGGCTCGGGTTCGTCGGTCATGTCCAGGAACCCCTTCTCAAGCTCAGCCTCCACCTCCCTTCGTCGGAGGTCTTGTTCCGCAGGCGTGTCGTAGCCAGCCCCCTTGAGGTTAGCCGTAGAAAGGAGAAGGCACCGGCCACGCCATGACACAAAGTAGCGCTCATGTCCGTCAGGTAGAATGATCACTGCTGGCCCCCTCCAACATCCAGTGTCCCGACGGTAGCGGCCCTTGTTTAACTTTGGGGACCAAAAGTAAACCAACTCCCCTGGGGCAAAGGCACGTCGTTCACCAGCCGGGGCCCGACGAAGAGCTCGCTTGATCTTGTCCCGAATGTCCCCGCGAAGTAGGGCAACCTTTGCCGCGGCGCGCATCTCGGACATACGGGCAACCTCGGAGTCGATGGAGAGGGCGTGGCCGAGGCTGGCCGAAGACCAAATGTCCTCGTCCAGCAAGTCTGGGAAACATGCTTGGCGGCCAAAAGCCAGAAGTTGAGCTGAATGGCCCGCTCGGGAAACAACAGAGTTCTTGCCCTGAATGGCGCATGCCAGGGCTGTCTTCATCTCTACCCGGCCACAGGACTGGTACTCGGCAATGATCGCGGACCACGCGGTGCCAAGCAGGGCACCATGCCGCTCGGCATATCCATTCTGCCATGGTGAGTGTGACCCTGCCACCTTGGACTGGATCGCGTGGCTTTCCAGCACTCCAATGAATGCCGTCTCAAATTCCCCACCTTGGTCAAGGGTCACCCGCTGAGGCACACCATAGAGCCCCACCCAGCCATTGATGAACTTACGGGCCACGTGCTCCGGGTTCCGATTCCGCAGAAGGCGGGCTGCGTGGTAGGTGGTGGCCTCGTCGATCATGCTGAGACACACGTAGATCTCACCCTTGTAGTCCTGCTGGAACTTGAGGTCGAGGTGCACGGCCAAACCAAAACTCACAGCCCGGCTCTCTGCCTTGGCTGCAAAGGGCCGCCGAGGTTGACTACCCAAGCGGCAAACCGGGCAGTCAAAGTGCCGCGCCATCTCAATCATCTCTTCTGTGGCACCACCAAGCTGCAGCATCCGTACCAGAGTCTCGTTTGGAGGGTGTCCGAGCCGCCGGTGCACAATGTCGATGCGTTCCAGCTTCCCGTCCTTGGCCAGCTGAGAAGGAGGACCAGCCAGCTCCTCGGTTGTAGTCTCAGTGGTTTCGGCAGTGGGCTGGAAGTCAGGATCCGGCGGGGTCGTTTCACCATCGACGTCAGGGTCATAGAAGTCGGAGGCCATAGGAGGATCCACATGAGCTGGGGGAGGAACCTCGGGGGGTTCATGAAGTAGCTCCCGATCATCCTCAACCAGCTGCTCCTCCGCAAAGGTAGGGCTCACCACAAAAACTTCACCTCGACGGCGGCGGCCACCTTTCATCAAGAACTCCTGCGCCCCATCAAGAACAGCCTTGGCAAAAGCTTCGGGATAGCAGCCAGGACAATCACCCAAGTTTCTCCAGTGTCCCTTCGCACACACGCCCCCAAGACAGGGAGCATGCCTATGGGTTCCAGGGCATCGCCGGGCCACCTTCGCAACGATCTCCTCTTGGCTGGCTACTCGAGTGGGCCTTTTCAAGAAAAGGGGGTGCTCCTTCCCCCACTCGTTGGCAGGCCGCTGCAAACCATACGCACACATGTCAACTTGGCAGCAAGGGAGCCCTGCCCAGGTGTCCACAACCAAAGGCTCGAACCAAGACCGCGAGGAAAAGGGATTCTCACCAAGAACGGCGCCACCCCGGGCACGGTGTGCGAGGACCAGGTCTTGAATCCAAGCCAAAAGTTTGCGTTCTCTCCAAAGGGCTGCGACTCGCTCCTCGCAATCACCTTGTCCAGGGGAACCATTGCTCCAGCCAGGGGTCCAGACCGAAGATGGCCAAGACACAACCAGGAGGTCCGGATCAAAACGGCACAGGTACTCTAGGGCCTCCTTCTGGCACACAGGGTCATATAGGTTCCAATTGGGACCTGCCAACGGCTCGCCTGCCTCCCAGCCACGCGCAACAGCCATCAAGGAGACGACCATCGTCACCGAGAACACCTCCAGGACACGCCAAGGGCCGGGACG